GACGTCCCCACGAGTCGAGGCCGAAGTGCGGCGCCACGAAGTCTCCTCCCCCCTCCTCCTTCCCCCTCCTCCTCCTCCTCCTCCTTCTCCTCCTCCTCCTCCTCCTCCACCTCCTCCTCCACCTCCCCCAATCGGTTGAGCCACGCGTCGGGCACTGCCGCCCGGCCCAGGGGTCCAGCCCCTAGGTGGTCCCCCGTCCCCGCCCAGGGTCCAGCCTGGCCCGCTCTGCGAGGCGCGCCCGGCCGTGGCGCTGCGGGGAGGCCTCCCGGATGCCCCAGGCAGGGCGAAGTCGGGCGTCGAGTGATGCTACGGTGGAGGCGTTTGTGAAGGAACAGACCCAGGAGGCGCCAGACCGTGGAGGCTTCCGTCTCCAATGAGGGCGGCGGTGATGTGCGTGGCCGATCCACGATTGGCGTTCCACTGGCTCGCAGACCCTGGGTTCCTTACCTAAGGGTTCCTTATCCAATGCCCACACCGTAATGTCCCTCTGCGGGCGGAGTGTCCAAGAATGGTCCAAACATAGTATGGGGACGAACTGTTGACTAGTTATGACCATGTTTGAGCATTCCGAAGAAGACGCCATAGACATCAAGTGTCGGCGCTCCGCGCGGATCTCTTTGATCCCCCGCGCTGGGGCCCCCTTGGCGGCGCCTCTGGCGCCGCCCCTGGCGCGTTCCGTGCGCGCGCCAGGGAGGGGAGCAGAGCGCGGATCCAACAAACCCCGGTCGGAGCGCCAGAAGTGTATGTGTATGACATGTATTCGTCTTCGTGTATTGTTTGATCATATTTCGTTCTTCCCAAAGCCGCCTGCAGGAAGACATGCCCGACCTAAGAGTAATGGACGTGGGATAAATCGGGGTGTGACGAAGGGTACGCTCACCTCTTGTGCCCTAAAGGGGCACGATAGGTGCACGTTTCTCTCCCCCCATCCCCCACCCATCGCCCCCCCAATAGCTAACGCCAGAGCCTCCCGGATGCTGAAGAAAAGGATGAACAATTCCAGGGAGAGCGGCCGATGTCTAGATTTGCCCTTGGCTCCTCCTCGCTCCTGCTCATATCCCGTTTCTCTAGAACGGGAGATTGCAGGGCTCATTCGATTCCTCCGATTCGATTCGATTTGTTTTCAATGGCCTCCGATTCCGATTCGATTCGGCTTGGGAGCCCGATCCGAATTTCGAGTTCTCAATAGAGGCCTAATTACTCGCCTGCCGATTTCTGCCGATTCGGCCTCTCACGACGCGGCTGCCGATTTACGCCGATCCAATTCATTTAGATCGCCGATCCGACGTATCGATTCGATTCTGGGCTCTCCTGGGATTGTGAAGTTGGCTGGGTTTCAGTCGCGCGCGCGAGGCTTTTACAGCGTCGTTGCGTTCGTGTCGTGGCAGTTTGAGGCCGACTGTTGTGCGAGTTCGTTAGTGTTTGCGTCATCCGAGTAATGCGTTTTACATGTATCATTCTCATCCTCATCGGGAACCTCGGGGATCGCAAGCGCTTACTATGCCTCCACACATAACAACAATCAGACATGTGCTGGCGGGGACTTTCTCCGCGGGGAATTGTACATCCTCTCGATCCCCGAGGCTTTGAAACTATTCCTCAGGGAAGTAGTGCGAATCCTTTGTCTGGGATATCCGTATGGTCTTTTTGGAGTGAGGTGAGACTCCTCCTGTCACATCAAATCCGAAGGACTCCGACGGATTTCCTTGTATTTGCCAGACGATTTCGATTGATCACCCAAGGGATCCCGACACATTCCACCGGAGTTCCTAAAGACTCACTGTCTTGATTCCAAGGGAACCGAGGTGGCCGTTGGGTTTCATGAGGACATCCATTGGATTATCGAGGTCACCGAGGGAATCGTAGACCTTATGATGCCCTTTGCTTTGTTACCGAATCGCAGGCATGCCCAAATCAATCCGAAAGCAACCAAGTGAATTCTGATGGAATTTCACAAGAACCGCACGGATTCCTTCAGACATCTTGGCGAATCCAGAAGAGCATTGGCGATGCCCCTTGACTTTCGAATTGTTCGTGGAGGCGTTCAAGCGACCGGTTTCACAAGAAGTATTTTAAAAGCGTTGTTGGGCAGGTGTTGTTTGGGGGTTGCTAAATGTGCCTCTGGCCCACGGTGCCCCCAGCTTTTCTGTCAGTCTTGGAGCCTCTGGGGTCATTTGGGCTCCGTGATGGGGTGCTCTGGAAGCAGCGGGGACCTCCGTGGAAGTCCTTGGGGCACATTTGGCCAGGGCACTTCTGGCATTACCCGAACTGTAGTGTTGCATGTGAGTTGTACGGGCCACGAGCAGGATTCGATTACATATGTATAGATATGGACATATACAGACATAACATACAGACAGACATACATACATGCATACATGCAAACATACATGCATAATCACATGCATGCATACATACAGGTGCAACTATACACCACCATATATCGATGTAAGGAGATTTGGCAGGATGTGTTTGGAGCTGTCATGAGGTGTAGGCATTA